GCTGTGGCATTGGGCTGCTCGGGGAGGGAGCTGAGGCCGCCCCTGCCTGCAGCGAGAGGGAGGGTGCAGGGCTGGGGCTAAGTCCCGCTCTGGAGGGCACAGATCTGTGGGAGGGCTGAGGCCCCAGAGCTGTTCCTCCAGGCGGTGGTGGGTGCCTGCCCTGGACCCCCACTCTGCCCAGGGCTGCGTGCCCTGGGTGGGTGCCCAGCACCTCAAAGAGCACCCCAAGGCACTGTCCTGCAGGACCTGCCCAGTCCCTGCCTTTCCCCGCATCACAGACACTCCACTCCCATCCCATGGGGGGTCCTGGCGTCTGTGGGCAGTGTCGCTCTGCCCGAAGGGAGCCTGGCAGGGTCGGCATGGCTGGCAGCACCCAACCCCGGGCTGCTCCAGCTGTGTGGCTTCCCGTGCCCTGTTGGCACCAGCTCTGGGTTATGGATCCTGGCTCCTGTGGGAGGCTTTGCTCAGTGGCACGGCTGGCGTTCACCCTGCCCAGCTGTGCCCCGGCATGGTGCTGGGCACTGGGGTCTCTGCCCTGCCTGGCACACGGTGGTGGCCCTGTGCTGCTCCAGCCCAGGCTCCTGCAGGGACCAGGGGAACCTTGCAGGGAGCCAGGTGGATGCTCACCCCCCCCCCTGCTGGTGTGGCCAGGCTGGGGTACAGGCAGGATGCTGCCCCATCTCACAGAGCCCTGCCAGGGTCCTGGTCACAGCGCGTGGCAGAGCCCTGACACTGGTCCCTCTAACTCCATCTCTGTCTCTCTCTTTCTACCCCCAGGGAGTAAAACCCAAGGCGTGGTGCAAGGCGTCACCTCAGGTATGGTCCCCTCCGGCTTCCCACCCTGGTACCCCTCTGGCCCCGAGAGTGCAGCCGCACTAACGAGATCAGAGGCTAATTGAGGGGCTGATGTCACCCGGCTAAAGCCTCTTATATAACCGGGCCAGCACGGAAGGATTTGCGGTGGCTGCTCACACTCCCTGCCCAGCTGTGGAGCAGCATCCCCGCCCCCCCCCCTCCCCAGGGCCCAGGCAGGGAGGCGGGGAGGGCCTGATCCTGCCCAGCGACTCCCCATCATCCCCCCCCCGGGGTGGTACGGGGCATGGAGCCGCAGCTGGCCTGGCATGGGGGGGCACTGATGGGCGCCTCCGGCTCTTGCAGTGGCTGAGAAAGCGAAGGAGCAGGCGTCCCAGCTGGGCGAAGCGGCATTCTCGGGTGCTGGCAACATCGCGGCGGCCACAGGACTGGTGAAGAAGGAGGAGTTCCCTGCGGACCTGAAGGTGAGACCTCCGGGCACTGCCATGCCCACGGGGACGCTGGCACGTCCCCAGGCTTGGCGGGGAGCCCCTTGGCCACTCCCCAGCCCCCTGGGGGGGGCCC